CCCTTCACAACAGGACCCCATCTACATCAGGACCCACCTTCACATCAGGACCCCCTTCACAACAGGACCCCCCTCCACATCAGGACCCCCTTCACATCAGAAGCCCCTTCACATAGTTCTGGTTAAATGCATGTGTATGTGTGGCTCATCTGTACATATTCCTGTGTTTACAATAACTCTCTGTAAACCATTTGATATCTTTGTTCAGTAAAGATTCCTCTTTTTACACTTTATTTGGTGTAAATGCATACTTGAAGATTTCTGTACCGCTAGAAATGAATTAAGCAAAAAAGAAAGAGAAGATAGGAGGAAGGGGGGTAGGGAGAGATATGGACAGAGAAAGTGTGAAGAAGAGACACAGAAACTTGTTAAAAAAGGAAACATTGCTGTAGATTAAACTCTGTAACATCCTTACACAGAACCCTCTCCTCTGTGTGAATTCAGGTGGGAATTAAGATAGGTCTTCCTTGAAAACCGCTTCCCACATTCAGAACATGAAAACGGACGATCGCCTGTGTGGATTCTCTCATGTCTGACCAGAGCTGACTTATGGGTAAAACACTTCCCACACTCCAAGCATGAATATGGCTTCTCCCCCATGTGAGTTCTCTGGTGTCCAATAAGATGCGACCTACAAGAGAAGCCTTTCCCACATTCGGGGCATGAATATGGGTGGTCACCGGTGTGGACCCTCTGGTGCTGGACCAGATTGGATTTATTGGTGAAGCCTCTCCCACATTCAGAACACGAATACGGCCGGTCGCTCGTGTGGATCCTCTTGTGTCTAGCGAGATCTGGACCGTCGGTGAAACGTTTCCCACATTCAGAACACAGGTATGGCTTCTCCCCCGAGTGAATTCTCTGGTGCCTCACCAGAAGCCTCCTCCATGAAAAGCACTTCCCGCATTCGGAACATGAATAGGGCTTCTCCTCCCTGTGAGTCCTCTGATGAGAAAGAAGATAGCCCTTCTGGGAAAAACTTTCACCACAGTCGGAACAGGCAAACGGCTTCTCTGCTGTGTGCGTCTTTTCGTGCGTGGAGAGGTTCGACCTGTCCGTGAAACACTTGCTGCAATGAGAACATGAATACGGCTTCTCCCCAGTGTGAACCCTCTCGTGCGTAATGAGAGAGGACTTCCAAGAGAAACATTTGCCGCATTCAGAACAGGAGAACGGCTTCTGCCGCGTGTGCGTCCTTTGATGTTCGATAAGTTTTGTTCTCTCGGTGAAACATTTATTACACTCGGAGCACAGGCATGATCCACCCCCGGGAAAACTCCCCCCACGAGTAGATGGAGCAGACGAGAGATCTCCAATATGAACTGCGGGATGGGGAACAGGGTTTTCTTCTGAAGAATCGGGGGTGAGGTCATCATCATCATCTGTTTCACCATTTGGAGTGACAATGGGACGTCTGTTCGAATGATTCCTCACGTATCGCCCATCTGGAGGATCGGTACGGAAAACGACAAGATATTGAGAGTAGGGAGCCATTGCCTCAAGAGAAATTTGACAATCGTAGCAGCATACTGGACAATGTTACACTTGCAAACTGGACCACCAAACAAGGAAGGTACATGAAGAATTTCTTGGCTTCTTCATTACCTTTACTCAAGAGTAGATGGTATAGTTTCCATCTCGGAGTAGAAATATGTTTCCAGACACCTACTAAGCCTATACATTTCTAATCTTCCTATGGAGCATGTGTTCCCCCCATTCGGACCATCCCAACAACCTATGAACCCCATGCAACCCCGCTGTTCTCCTCCATACTTCCTCTTTCACCTCTTTTCGCCTTCCTCTTCCCTTTCACATCCTCTACTTAACCCCAAGTGTGGGCTTCCTCCCTTTTCTTTGACTCTTTCCAGTCCATGGATCTAAAGCTGGGTATACACGGAGCAAATTTTGTCTGAAGACACTGGTTTACAAATTTTGTGAAATAATCGACCTCCGAGATAAACAGGGTTACTCACAAAAGGGTGAAGAGTTTGGAGAAGGCAGGAAAAGTGAACAATCTAGGAAAACATACACTATATTACCAAAAGTATTGGTGCGCAGTCATGTTGGAGCAGGAAGGGGCCATCCCCAAACTGTTCCCACAAAGTTGGGAGCATGAAATTGTCCAATATGTCTTGGTGTGCTGATGCCTTAAGAGTTCCCTTCACTGGAACCAAGTGGACAAGCCCAACCCCTGAAAAACAACCCCACACCATAATCCCCCCTCCACCAACTTTACACTTGGCACAATGCAGTCAGGCAAGTACCGTTCTCCTGGCAACTGCCAAACCCAGACACCTCCATCGGATTGCCAGACAGAGAAGCGTGATTGGTCACTCCAGAGAACACGTCACCACTTCTCTAGAGTCCAGTGGCGGCGTGCTTTACACCACGGCATCCCACGCTTTGCATTGCACTTGGTGATGTAAGGCTTGGATGCAGCTGCTCGGCCATGGAAACCCATTCCATGAAGCGCTCTACGCACTGTTGTTGTGCCAATCTGAAGGCCGCACGAAGTTTGGAGGTCTGTAGCTATTGACTCTGAAGACAGTTGGTGACTTCTGAGCACTGTGCGCTTCAGAATGCGCTGACCCCGCTCTGTCATTTTACGTGGCCTACCACTTCCTGGCTGAGTTGCTGTTGCTCCCAGTTGCTTCCACTTTGTTATAATACCGCTAACAGGTGACCGCGGAGTATTTAGTAGCCAGGAAATGTCACGGATTGACTTATTGCACAGGTGGCAACCTATCACGGTACCACGCTTGTAGTCTCTGAACTCCTGAGAGCGACCCATTCTTTCACAAATGTTTGTAGAAGCGTCTGCATGCCGAGGTGCCTCATCCTATACACCTGTGGCCATGAAGGGGATTGGAACACCTGAATCCAATGATTTGGATTCAGGTGTTCAATACTTTTGGTAATATAGTGTAGCTGATTTGGAAAAAATCTCCAGTTCAGCTCACTTCCCAGTTCAGCGATGTTGTCTTAGATTGTTCACTTTTCCTGCCTTCTCCAAACTCTTCACCCTTTTGTGAATAACCCTGATAATGTGTTCATTCTTACATATTTTGATGAGATTAATTGGAAATCAGGGGATAAAGGGAGGGAGGGAGGAGTCTGATGATCATGATGCCTCGTAACTTCTCCGCAAAGTACGGTAGAACAATGAAAATGGTATCACATGGAAGTGTATACATTTATCTTCACTTTGAGACTAAAGATTATGACCTAACTGGTATGTTCTTTTATTGGAAGGTACATTTGTCTTGGTCAGATCTTTCGCATGATACAGTTACTGTACGTCTGGTGGCTTCTGAAAGTGTAATTGCCGCACATTTCCAAGGGACAGTTGCGTGATATTTTCCCTCAGAAGCCAAGACGCCTGGAAAGTGTGTAAACAACGCAAAGAACTTCTACTACATTTGTGGTGAGGTTACATTTGCATCTGAAAAGTGCAGAATGACGGCAGTGGTAAAAAAAAGGCACACCACCTATATTTTAGATGCAAAATGGGGGCTCGGGACAAGAGTTGGGCCCCTCATTATTGTTGCATTACATGTGCAACTTATCTGCGTCACTGGCTAAACAAGAAGAAAAAGTCCATGCCTTTCGCAGTCCCAATGGTGTGGAGGGAACCCACATAGTAGCTAGGGATGCACCCATACCGGTATTTCGGTATCGAGTACGAGTAGCAATATTTTTTTTCCCGGTACTCGCCGATACCGAATACCGATACTGAAAGTCCCATTAAGGAAGCCGGGCGGCATGTAATGACTCGCCACCTGGCTTCCCGATTAGCCGGAAGGTATGTAATGACTCGCCACCCGGCTTTCCAATTAGCAGGGAAGCCGTCCCCATGCTTCTCATCACTAGGTGACGAGAAAGCATGGAGTCATGACGTGGTGCCTGGCTTTCCGATAGGCCGGGAAGCTGGCTCCGTGCTCCCACGTCATGAGGTGACGAGGGAGTATGAAGCTGGCTTTCCGGCCAATCAGAAAACCGGGCGCCGCGTCATTACAAGAAAGCCGGCACCATGCTTGCTCGTCACAGTGACGAGGGAGCATGCAGCCGACTTCTCGGCCAATCAGGAAGCCGGGCAGCGTGTAATGACTACTGTATTGAGTAACGATATTTTGTTTTTGGTACTTGCCGATACCAAATACCGATACTTTCTGGCCAATCATGAGCTGACGAAGAGCATGAAGCCGGCTACCCGGCCAATCAGAAAGCCAGGCACTGCGTAAATACACTGCGCCCGGCTCCCTGATTGGCCAGCTACCCGACCAATCAGGAAGCCGGGCAGCGAGTCATAACACGCCACCCGGCTTCCTGATTGTCTGGGAAGCCGGCTCCATGCTCTCTCATCACAAGAAGCCGAGCAGTGTGTAGTGACTCATTGCACGGCTTCCTGACACAAGAAGTATCGGGCTAGGCATCAGAGCATTTGGGTGAGTACGACCACTCGCCCAAATACTCGGGCTTCGGCACCGATACTAGTATCGGTCGCGGTGCATCCCTAATAATAGCGACTGCTATTTTTGCATGGTTCCCCCAATTGCAAAAAGGACCTCAAGAAAGAAGAAGTGGATCGTGGAATAGCCAAACATTCCGTCTGCACTGCGTCCTGTACCCCATGATGAGGACTTGCCTATTCCAGATCCACCAGAATCCTACTCTGTAGACTCAGATGATGATAAAGACGATGGGCAGGATGCAGCTGATCCGGGGGCAGTCGATGTAAATGTAATGCCGTCGATTTAAAGCATGAACATTGTTACATGAAAAACCAATAAATGAAAGGAAAGTTATGTTATTGGTCTCAATAAACAGAATAATGTATAATGATTGGTGTGGCGCCATTGTCATCGCTAGACCACATTTTGCAGAAACGTTATGGAGCAGAATCGCACATCCCCCCTCGTCATTTTGATCTGAAGCTTTATCTTGGAAACTGGAGCCAAACATACTCAGGACTTCATTTTCCTTTATTAGTGACCCAATTCTGGTCATATGTAGCCACTTTCATTTCCCAGGTTTTCCCCTTGTAGACCAGTGTGACTGGACAGTTATGGCACTTAACCTCTATGAGGTCATCTCCTAATCTTGCCCTTTTCAGGGCGCGCTAGTGTCTATGGGTGTCTCTGAAGATAGGACATGGACAATCTAAGAATCTTTTCTGTATTCCTCACCTGTGCTGATCTCTGGAGGGATTTCCTCCTCCGTACACGGCTCCTCATCCCCCACATACGGCTCTACTGCTTCCTCCTTCACTTCAACTTTAACAACAAAAAAATGTTCATCCTGTGTAACACAACACAATATATATCATATACAATATAAAGTAAAACCAAAAAGAATATCAACACTGGGTTAGGTCAACAAAAACTGTGTGTACGTTAGAAGATACTGCAGGAGAGGTCGACTCGCTCAAGGATAGTTGAAGTACTGATTTAGACATGCCTGAGGCCTACATGCATGGCTGGTATGAGCACAGGCCAAGAAAAGCTTGAAGGATGACTTTAAATTTGTATATATTAGGGATGCACCAAGTATTTGGGCAAGTACTTGTAATATGGAACATGGAGCCGGCTTCCTGGCCAATCAGGAAGCCGGGTGGCAAGTACTGACCCGCCTCCCGGCTTTCTGATTGGCCGGGAAGCCGGCTTCTTGCTGATTAGCTGTGAAGCCGGCTTCCTGGCCGATTAGCTGATAAGCCGGCTTCCCGGTCAATCAGCAAGAAGCTAGCCAATCATTGTGATTGGCCGGGAAACTGGCTTCCCAGTCAGCAAGGAGCCGGCTCTTCGGCCAATCAGGAAGCTGGGAGGCGGGTCATTACTCAACGCCCAGCTTCCTGATTAGCCGGGGAGATGGCTCGATGCTGATTTGTTGGTAAGCCAGTTTCCCGACTAAACACAATTGAGCCGGCCAAACAACATGGAGGCGGCTTTCCGGGCAATCAGGAAGCCGGGCAGCATGTCATTACATGCTGCCCAGCTTCCTGATTGCCCGGGAAGCTGGCTCCATGCCAGAGGAGGCAGCGGTATCGGTACTCGGTATCGGCAAGTACCGAAAGCAAAACTTTGGTACTCGTACTCGATACCGAAAAACTGTTATCGGTGCATCACTAGCATGTATAGAATGTTTTGGGTGTTCGATATTGGTTGCTGATTAAGTAGCTTGACATTAAAAGGTCTATTAATAAACTATCCACAGGGCCATTCACCCTGCTAATATCTGTGAACATTCATTCTGTGCAGCTATATGCCAAAATGAATGTTCGTTCATATTTGTATTGTATAGAACACAAAGCGCACGTTCCCCTACCCAGAAGTTCGGGGAAGCAGCTCTCTGGGATCTGGAACCAGCAGGGGTAAGCAGCTAAGCTTTTGAGTCTTTGGGCACAAAGTACTTGCAAAGAACCTTCTGGGCAACCTTTCACTGCTTCCCTACAAAGCTTTACCTTAACTACATGAATTCAGTCGGCACTGCTCTGTGCA